GTTGAGTTATAGGTTTGAAAAAGCTTTTCGTATCTTTTTGTCATTTGATAAAAACAGGGTTAATACATACCCTTGCAGCTTCCAATTTTCTATACGCTCCTCGCAGTTGCTGTCCATTTTGTTTCGATGATCCAGCGCTAGACTCACCGAGTTGTGAAGATGAGAGGTTTTTGTATACCTCTAGCCTTTGTTTCTCTTTTACAGGCGGATTAATATCAAACATTGTGGGGAACAGCACTCTATTTTAGAAGGGTTTTCATCTTTAAACCCAAAGATTTCACTTCAACCGACTGTTCTCAAAAGAATCGGCAGTGAAGTGAACGCTACAAAGACGGCTAGAGTTCTTAGGTTAACGAATCCGGATCGAGTGTTTCTCACGGCGTTCGTTCATAACCTGGCGAAATGAAGATGTTCAGGTCATTCACGAAAGCCTAATCCATTGCTACGTGTATTGGAACGTACATCGGCCACACATCGTTGCGGCATTATCGTGGTCTTGGGCGCTTTTTTGCTTGTGATGAGATCTCGATGTGCTTGTTTTTGAAATGTCAACGGAAGTCGAATGAGTTCTCCTACATCACGACCGTTGACAGGCTAAGCTGCCGCGTTCGAACAGCACTTTGAAAAAATTTTCAAATTTAAACGAAAATGAGAGATTTACACTTGTTTTCAAAAGATATGTTACAAACCATCTTTTCTTAAAACTCGTCGTAGGCTAGAGAGTATCCCTTGAGATCGACCATTTTAACCCAAAGGTAATCATAAAAAACTTAAGTAAAACTGAAAACTGAGAGTACTGACTTAAAGGTATGAAGTAATCACATCTATGAATATTATGAGTACACTGTTATTGACGACAATGACAATACATTATTTTAGGAACAGAAAAGATACAAGGCACTTACAGCGGTTGCCCGTCAGAGTTTTTGACTTGTCATAAAAAAAAGGGAAAAAACTGGTGTTAGTATGGAAAGCTGAAACAATTGAAAATATGCCAGTTTGTCGAAATGTGAGACGGGTTAGGCCCCCTATTAATCTATTTTTAACATTTTAAAATCCACTCTGGAGAAATGACCGCAAAACGTATGTTTAACAACCTCTAAAATGCAAAGTTTGAGTCAACAAAATTCAGTCTCAAGGAAAAAAACAAACAAAAAAAAAAAAACACAACAAACACTATCAAACAGCAAGAAATCCACAACGGTGCAAATTAGTTCATTAGCCTTAACCCTATCTGACGTTGTCAGGACTCTTAACCTACTGTAAAGCGAATTGGGTGGATACAGCTTAACTTGTCATCTAGGTCAAACACCCCATCTCAAACTTGCACCATTGGGTAGTCATAGTTGAATGCCCACAGTAAAAGGACAATATTAGTAGTTGCCTACTCACTAATATCAACATCACTCACCTTTCGTGTGTTTTCTACATTTCCTTTTCTTGTGTAAGCAACATGTGATGAAGACAACCACCACAACAACGACCACTGACACAACAATTATAACGGAAACATTGACCCATTTTGCTGAATAACCACAGAAAATACAGGAAAATATACAAAAAGTTTAGTTTACCAAACAAGTGTTGAGAGTGTGTCTCTGTAAAAGCGGTCCGGTCAATATTTGCTTGAGACACAGATTTCCCTCATTTCTTGTGGGTTGTAAGACATTCATGTGCCTATAATAAAACCACAATCCGTTTGATCGGATCTCTTTACTTTTCAAAGTTTTACGGAAATGAAATTTCACTCGAGCGAAGGTCTGTCGTGACACTTTTCACGACTTTAATTTTAGACAACTTTGGAGGACAATTTAAAAAAAACTACCGAACTCAGCAAAAAACAAATACCACAGCCATGTATATTAATTCTATCTTATCCATCGAAGCGACTTTCGCGAACATCACATTTCAATCAAAGAAACAGGAAGACTTAAATGACACCTTATCGGTTCGCTTAAGTGACACACGCGAAAACCAATGAAATTTAAGGTAAATTTTTGAAAAAGTGAGGCGTTCTTAACTGATCCAACTAACATAGCTAGGAAGAACACGCCATAGAAAAGGTAACTACAGAAAAAAACTTTGCGGCACGACCTTTGGGAAAACTTTATAACTCCACGAACTTACCTGATTTTTGGCAATCTCCGAGTTTGGCCGCCATTTTGAAGGACTTGTCAACATGAAGCGTAACAGATATAAACCAAGCAGGTAGATCTAAAACCGTCTGAAATACATACGGAAGCAATTCAAATGAACTTTTCTTTCAATTCAAGCGGTAAAATTTGCAATTGTTTGTTAAACTTACCATTCCTACATTNTCGCCTCCATGGATAAGATAGAATTAATATACATGGCTGTGGTATTTCTTTTTTTTGCTGAGTTCCGTAGTTTTTTTTAAATTGTCCTCAAAAGTTGTGTAAAGTTAAAGTCTTGAAAAGTGTCACGACAGACCTTCGCTCGAGTGAAATTTCACTTCCGTAAAACTTTGAAAAATAAAGAGATCCGATCAAACGGATTGTGGTCTTATTATAGGCACATGAATGTCTTACAACCCACAAGAAACGAGGGAAATCTGTGTCTCGAGCAATATCGACCGGACCGCTTTTACAGAGACACTCTCTTAATTCTGTGCAACAAGATAGAAAATTGGAAGAGACAACCTCAACAGAAATAGGACACCACAATGTAAAAGAATTATGACAATGAAAAATCAATCAATTCAATGCTAAATTGCGCTTTGTTCTGACAAGGTGTTGGATTAATGATTGCAGAAAGTCTACCTTACATCAGGAAATTTGACGACAAATATTTAAATAATTAATAGCGGCAACAAATCGTAGCTATACTGTTTGTTTGCTTCTTTACAAATTTTTGTGAGCATATCAAAAAAATCCAACATAAGCTCATTTGCTAAAAAAGAATGTGCTCCGGGTGTCTGGACCTGTGACTGTGGATTGTTTTGTTTTGTTTAACTCGTTCGAACCCATTCTCAAATGCAGGAAAACGAAAAATCAAGAAAATAAGTTATTGAGAAGACCAAAATGTTTCCATAATCACACATATCTTGTACTACGGCTTCTGAATATCAGGTAGAACCTTATAGCTACTTAGAACCTTACTTTCACAGTTTTTCTTTTTGAAAATGGCTTCCTCGCATTCTGGAACTAAATTGCAAATACTCATTAATACAGACAGTCATGCATTTTGACAACATAATGGCAGTATATAAACAACACCACTAAAAAACAATTTTATAGACCTTAAACCTTATTACAAATTCTTAGACCATATGAATCTCAAATGAATATTGAATGAATAGCTGTACCATGCTGACATTCCTATAATTTCTCTTAAAGTATTCTTTTGCATGAGATATATGTACAATGATTTCGAAGGGATGGTGTGGTTTACAGACAAGCGTCCTAAAAAGAACACACTTTAAACCAGTTATAGGCTTGCACCCTTACCAAATCTACATATATGTGACATATATATGTTGCATATGTATGTCACATGAATGTGCCTTATCTGTGGCATATATGCGGCATATATGTCAAATATATGCCACATATATGTAACATAAATGTGGCATATGTAGGAATTTGGCACTCCTGTTGCATGTATATCACATATATGTGACATATACATGTAACATATACATAGCATATATATAACATATATATGTAATATATATGTGACATATATGTGGAACCTGGGAACCACAAATGCGCCCTTACCAAATCTACATATGTGTGACATATATGTGACATAGGTTCAATCGTTGCACATATATGCCACATATATGGCACATATATGTGGCATACATTATGTAACACGTGTATGTCACATATATGTAGATTTGGCATATGCAGGTCAACCAAAAGGCATACATGTATTATAGTTCATAATAGCTAGCCAAAAACAATTGCAGTCAATATAGAATAACCACAATCCTTAATTGAGACCACAAAATTATATATTTCTGTAAGGCATGGCTTTGAGAAACCTGTTAATATGAAAAGAAAATAGAACTGTGTGTATATATATATTCATATCTACATATATATATATATGTAGATATGAAT